CGGCTGCGTCGGGCCTGCGGATGAAGCTCTTTCGCGACCTGAGCTCCGTGACGGCCGAGTGGGAGCGGCCGAGGATGGCCTCGGCGTCGTACGCCTGCGCGGGGCGGTCGTCGTCGTCCCTGTTCTTCCTGCCCCTACCAAGGCGCTTGAGCCTGCCAAAGACGCCGCCCTTGCGGCGCCTGTTTTCCTCCTTGATGGCCCACTCTTCCTCCTCGGGCGCCAGCTTGCGCGGAGCGCTGTAGGCGCGCGAGCGGGAGCGGGTGAGGGTGTTTGTGCTCGCCATGCCGTCCTGGCGACTGGCGCCAGCGGGCCTGGTCGAAGCGGCGGCGAGGGCGGGTGCAGGTCGGGCAGTCGGTTCCGCCGTGCCCGCAGAGCCTGCATCGCGGTCCTCGTCGTCGTCGCGGTCGTCTTCGCTGTCGCTCTGCTCGTCGAGGCTGGGGCGGCCGTCGCCGTGGCTCTCTGGATGGGTGAGGGCGCCGGCGTCTTCGCCGCTGAAGAAGGCCTCGTCCTCGGTCTCGGTGAGGTGGCTGCCATCCTCGCTGGCGAGGCGGGCGGGCATCGGGCGCGAACGCTCGCCGGTGGTGGTGGCGGTGGTTGGCATGGTGCTCGGGTCGCGGCCCTTGCGATCTGGGCCGTTGGAGCGGGAGCGGTGACGAATGCCAGGTCTAGCGGAGCGCAGTCCAGGCTCGACGTAGGGCCTTCGCATGCTCGACCTAGGCGGATGGAGAAGAGATGCTCAAGGAACGGTCGGCAGACTCTGGCAGTCGTTGGACAGGGAAGGGATGGCCGGCGCGGTCGACGTCGGCGGGACCGAGCGGGAAGGGTTAAAGGTCAAGCCAGAGACGTGACGAGGGTATCGGTGCAGCGCTGCAGGGCGTCTGCTGGCGATGAGGCGGTGGAGATGGTACAACGAGCGGCTGGGAGGGGGAGAGGAATGATGGTGGTGGTGGTGGTGGTGGTGGTGACGGGAAGAAGGCCAAAGAGCGGGTCAAGGAGGCGGGTCCGCCAGACGAAGCGAAGCTCGAGAGGACAGTTTGGGCAAGCAAGCTAGGGCTACGGCTGCGATTGCCGCGAAGGCTTAGCTAGCTATAGACGACAAGCAAGAGAGGCAGGCAGGGGAGGGCAGGGCAGGGCGGGGCGATGAGGAGCGGGATCCAGATGCAGCCTGGCCTGGATCGGAGAGCGGCTGCTATGCCGGCTGTACCTCTCCGGAGCGAGCGTCGTGGGCGGACGGCGAGAGGACGAGGGCGGACAAGGAAGGACCCCGAGGGCATGGTAGGGTGCGATGTTGGAGACAAAGGCATGCATGGGACCCTCTCTGCCGTATTGCGCCTGAAAGAGCGGACCCCGCGGCGGAGGCCTCGTTAATTGACGACGGGGTGCCGTCATTCCGCCGCAACCTCGACGACCAGACCAGGCCAGCTGGCCTGGCCGTGACCGTAGCCGCCCCACTTTGGACTGCCTGCCTGGCGCTCGTGTGTTTGCTGCTTGCCATCGACAAGACAAGATGCGGATGGCACAGGCTAGGAGGCAGGCAGAAGAGGGTGAGAGGGTGAGAGGGGGAGAGCAAGAGAGGGTGAGAGGATCGACGTCTGATCTGCTCGCGAGGCCAGCCAGGGACCAACCAACGAACGGACGTCGCTCGTCGATCCATCTGCAAACGTCGACCCGCAAGCGTGCAGCCGGCAGCCAACCGAGGCAGGAAGGGGCACGCGCGCTATGACACCGAGCGAACCCATATGGGCCGCATTCGGCGACCAACGTCGATCCGCCCTCTGCCTCAAATAGCCACCACCATCGTCGTCGTCGTCCTTCTCTTCGTCGTCGTCGTCGTCGTCGTTCATCGTGGTCGGCCATGCGATTGATTGGCCAATGGGGCATACGCTGTACCCACAGCAACAAAGGGAGGCACCCGGGGGGGGGGGGGGCAAGGAGGCATCCCGCATCCTCGTACAATGGATCTCCCATCATCATCCTCATCCTGCCTCATCATCGCATCATCGTCAGCCGAGACTAGAAAGGCATGCCACCGCCACGGCTACCGGTACATACGGTATCGATCGACGAGAGAGATGAAGCGTCCATGGCTATACAGGCTTTGTTTGCTTGTTGCCCCCCCCCCGCCCTCGTCCTATCGTGCTTCACCTCGTCCCGGCTCGTCATGCGTCTGTCTGGCCGACCTTAGGGGCCAGCTAGAGTGACGGTGAGGCCTGATCTGCTCGTGGATACCGGAAGCGTCGGTATCGACAGGCCGAGAGCGGCGGCGCGAGCGAGAGATGACGCCGGCTCGGCACCTCTGCCACACGCCCGCTTCATGCCTCCCTGACCGACCTCGTGCACCTGGCAAACAAACAGGCGAGCGGGCAAGCCACCCCCAGGCAGGGGGCCCAAACCACACATCCGAGATCCTTGAGCTTGGATCTGATCTGACTACAGGTAGGTCCCCCGTCCCTCGCAGCTTCAACTTCCACCCACGCCAATGCCACGTTGCCTGGCGCCGCAGTCCCTTCCCATAGCGAGCGCAGTATCGCGCAGGGACTGCACCAGACGCTCTCGGTCGTCACAGGCTTCATCAGATCTCAACGGCCGATAGGTTACTTGGGTCGGTGATGCCGCGGCTGTCTGAGCGGCCAACGACACGACACGACGAGCGGGACGAACGGGCGGGACGAGATGCGGGTATCGTGGTACAGTAGTGGTGGACAGCGAGGGCGGCGGCGGGCCCGCTTTTTGGTCCCCAAGATCTTACAGGTCGAGTCAGCGGCGCCGCAGCCGATCGGACCCGGGGCAGCCATGGCACCACGGGCCCCGTCGGCCGGGCCATGAGGAGTGGTAGCTACGAAGTGTGGGGACACGAAGACGGTGACTTGAGGATTCGTTGTGGTGATGGCCGGGGGCGCGGTTCCGGGGGATGCAATGACGATGAGACTTGAGAAGGCGAGGAGCGGGGGTTCCGAGCAAGCTCCCAGGCGAGCTTGCGATGCTGGATCGATAAGAGGGTAGTGATATCCGGGAGGGGTAGACTGGGGTCGCAGCGGCTTTGGCTGGAACGGCGCGCGAGGGTTGCGCGCGAGAGAGAGGTAGAGCGACGGGACGAGCTGTTGGAGGGGCACATTGAGAGGTCGTTATGTGAGGTGCCGCGGGCTGCTCTGCTCAGCTCTGCCACAGTCGCATGGGCAGCATTCGGCCGCGCAGAGAGGCTCGCCTGTCGACCTTGGCCGTGGCTGCGGCGGCGGCCGGGTTGGCGGCGCCCTCTTGCGTCTTTGGCCGGTTGCCGACCGACGAGATCTTTCGGCTGGCTCGGTGGAAGATGGAAGACGTCGGTCGCGCCTTGACAGCAGCGGCAGCGGCGGCGGCAACGGCGTCCTTCTGCTGGGGCTGCTGCTGTTGCTGCTTGGCAGCCGGGTGGTTGTCGTCGCTGCTGGAGCCGTCGGAACCGCTGTACGAGTCGACGCGGGCGAGGAGTGGCACGTTGACCAGGGCGTTGTCCACCATGAGGGCCTGCTTGAGCGCCACGATGCCCTCGGCCTTTTCATCGGCATAGGCGCGTCGGTCGGCGGCAGCGGCGACGGCAGCAATGTGGTCCGACTCGGAGCTCGACGACTCGGCGCGATCCTGGTCGCGAGCCAGCTGGCAGATTTCGAACGAGGTGCGGCCGATGGTGTTTCGGCCGTCGGCCCAGTCGCGGCCAGTGTCTTGGGACGAGAGCCTCGAGTCGCGGATGTGGGCGAGCCTCCAGTCGAGGTAGAAGAGCTTCTCTGTCGTGACGGATCCCCTCGGCGGCGGTGGGCCGTAGGTGACGTCGTGGACGCGGTGCCTGGCGGCGTTGTGGCGGGCCGAGGCGGCAGACTGCTTCTTGTCGTTGCGAAGCTTGGACTTGTTGGCCGTCTTTGTCGTCGTCGTCGCGGCCGCCGTCGACGTCGATGAGGAGGAAAAGATGCCGTAGAGGGACGGCATGCTGGCAGGCTGCTTGCGGCGGGGCGTTGTGATCAAGGAGGTGTGCAAAGTTGAAGGGGATCCCCGCGGCGAGGAGGCGAGGCGGTAAGGCTAGCGGCTGTGGCGGTAGTGGCGGCCAAGGTAGGGCGTGCGCAGTGCGGTGCGGTGCGTTCGTAAGGGGCGGATCGGCCTTGCAGCAGGGGCGACGAAGGTGAGGAGGCTAGGTTGCGGGTGGCGATGCGGAGGGGTTCGGTAGAGGTGAGGCTGGAGGTGGCTGCAGCAGATTATATAGCGGGGAAGGCGCGGGGGGGAAGAGGGACGGGGCAGCTCGACGGGGGCCAGGATAGAGCTTTCGGCTTGCCCGGCGGTGGTGGTGTGCCTGGCTTTGGGATGCCTTGGCTTGGTCCTCGCGCCCCTGCCCCGCCCGGCCTGCCTCTATCTTGTTTTACCCCGCGCCCCCCGCGCCCAGCTGCTTTGCTCTGCGTTGCGTTGCGGAGTCAGGTCCGCATGCTGGTCGAAGACCGGGCCAGGCCAGGCCAGGCAAGCAAGGCAGCCGATCGAATGCAGAAGCAAGCAAGCAAGCAAGCCACAAGCAAGTCAGCCGGCCAGCCAGCCAGCCAGCTGGTTGCACGGCGTCGAGGACGAGTAGGAGGTGTGCGCCCCCTGATTGGGCGGCGGCGGTGGCGGCGGCGAGTTGCGAGAAAAAGCCAAGCTAGGCAGGGAGGCAGCGCGGGACGAGGAGCGGGAAGCAGCAGCCAGAAGCGCAAACCCCCTCAAACGCACGCGAAGCGAGCCAAGCTTGCTGCAGGCCGTCTCAATCCCCGCCCTCGCTTACCGTGCCTCTGCCCGCTCTGGCCCTAGCCTGTCCGCCCCGCCGCCCCCGTGTCCAGCCTAAGCGGCAGGCTAGGGCAGGCCACACGAGCGACGGGCAGCCAGGGCCAGGCCAGGCCAGGGCGTCGAATCACCAGAGTCCAGGCCCATCCAACCGGCCTCTTCCGCCTGCCTCGACGGGCCAGCGCACTTGACCTGCCTGCCTCTCTCTCCCCGCCTCTCTCGGGCCCAGCCGTTTTCTGCCGTACCGAATCCGAATCCAGCAGGCTAGGCTGGCCAAGCGCGGTGGCGGAGATGTGCCTCGACGACGACGACGACGGCGACGGCGACGACGACAATGGGGCGGGCCATTCTCCCCCCTTCATCTCTTGCCAATTGTCCTTCTCTCGCCAAAGAGCAACGGTTAGGGCACCTCGCACGTACAGTACCGTCGATGGCCACACCGGGCCTACGGAGTGACGGCTGACAAGGGGGCACGCACGGGTTGGCCATCTGGCAGCTAACTAGGCCAGGCGTCGCAGCCGGGCGGGCGTCGAGGGCGCGGCGGAGCTGGCGACTAACCAACCAACCGTCCGTTCGGGTGCAGAAATTGCCCTGCCCTGACCGGCCGGCTTCTTTTGCCTGCCTCAAGTCCCAGCCCTACCTAGCCTAGCCTGCTTCTGACCCCTTCTCCTTGTTCAACAGGAGGAGGAGCAAGCGGTGGTGCAGCGGCGGGTAGATTCTATTTGTTACGGCGGCTGTGCTTCAGCTTCAACCGCAAGCGGCCCAGCTACAGCAGGACGGCGTGACAAAGGCCCATATCGACCTGGCCTGGCCTGGCTCGGTCCGTCTTTCACGGCGACGCAACCGTATGTACAGCCCGAGCAGACAGGCAGCCACGATGCCGATCGCACGACCCGCGTACGAACGAGCCTACGCAGAGCTAGCCCGTGCGCCTCGACCAAATATCGAAAACGCCAGACTGTGCCGGGCCATGGCGTGCTTGGAGCGCGACTTTCGGGCTTCCTGTCCGTGCTCGTTTGTCGCCGCAGGGCGTTAGAACGATGCCGGACTGGTGCCGTAGAGATGCCGATCGATGCTGAAGGCAGCTCTGCTACGTCCTTGAATGCGATGAGAGGAGAGCTGCATCAGCGAGGTCCATCGTGGTCCCGTCGAGCGAAGCGGCACTGTGCGGCGTGGTACTGAAGGTATACGGCAGATGTGCAGCGACACGACGACCCGTTGCATGGTGCTGGCAAGGCCAGCGCTCGCCTCTTCACATGGACATCGGCCAACGCTCCTGGAAACGCGGGTCAGATGGTCGCTGTGGTTCCTGGTCGCGAGCACGCGGATGGGTTCGAAGGATCTCGACCCCTCCTCCTACCCGTTCCTCCATCTCCTTCTCTCGGCATCGACCTGCTCTCGCACACAGGCAGGCCAGGGAGGGCCAGCAAGGAGGGGGATCGATCAAAGGAAGAGCACGAGACACAGATAGAGCACATGCTCCGGACTGACCACCGCCATCGCTGCGGTAGAGGCAGGGGCGAGAGCTTGAAGCTCTGACTAGGCTTGGGTAGGGTAGGCAGGGCAGGCTAGGGTGGTCCAGGTGACAGGCAGGCGCCTCGGAGGCTGAGACCCCCCTCCGCTTGTCTCAACCGGCCCCTGCCTCTCTGGCGGGATAGTGAGAGGTAGGACACCTGACCGTCTCTCCGGCTTGCCTCTTTCAGGCCCAGACCACTCTCACTCCCTGGGGGGGCAGCCGCTCGTGCATCCTGCGTGCCGCTCGCTCTTCTCGTCGTTCGACGATATCGTCACGACGACGTAGGCGCGTTCACACGGCAGCACACCGTCGACCTGGCCGTGCGGGCGACAAGCAAGCTTGCTACGTCGGTCGTCTGCGGTCCATCCGCCGGCACCGAACGTGCAGAGTTGCTGGCCCTGATTCGTTCCAGCTGCGCCGACGGCGAGCGACGCCTATTTAGCATTCGCTGCTAGTCACTCACATGTCAACCTACAGCGGCCACACCGTCGGCCATCAATCCAGCTGCAGGCTGACCAGCCACCTCTTGAGCTCCCTCAGCCCGTCCTGGTCCACCGGAACCGACTCGCCCTTGTCCCACGCCCTCGCCTTGCCCACGCTGGCCAGGCCCCACTTGACCTTGCCGCCCCACACCACCTCCTCGTCCAGCTTCTCGAGGCTAAACGTGTTGCTCGCCTGCGTACCGCCACCGCCGCCGCCGCCGGACTGGCTGGCCGCCTGGACCGCCTCGCGCCGCGCAGCCTGCCAATCGACGTAGTCGAGCGTGTCGACATCGTCGGCCTCGTCGTCGTCGTCGCCGTCCGCCTGACCGCCGGCCCCGCGCGAGGACGACGACGAGCCAAGGCCGAGAGCGCGCTTGATCCAGC